TGTACTAAAGGGCTGAGGGAGAGGGAGAAGCAGGCCCCCCACTGAGCAGGGGACCCCCCCCCCAACATAGGGCTCCATCCCAGGGCGTTGGGATCATGACCTTAGCTGAAGGCAGACACTCAACCAACGGATTCACCCAGGAGCCCCTTTCCCTCTACTAATTTTAACAAGTTGTTACCTTCCAATGATGGCACATGATGTTTAAATTTTTTTCTCTTTCTCAGAAAATCATTAAGAATTAATGTGTTAATGTGTTTCAATCAATTACTGTTTTGTTCTCTTTGATTTCTCAGATTGTTTTATTTGGGCCTGGGGAAGCTCTTTCTAATAGTATTTAAGAGCTGGAAGGAATCTTAAAAATCAGGTGCTCTAAATCCCTACCTTTTATAGGTGAGGAAACCAAAGCTTAGAAGTTCGTGACATCCTAATGTGTCACAGCTGATTAGCTGTGCAGAGCAGGGATCAGGGTCCAGATCTCTGGAAGCCTCAGCTAGTGCTTTTCTCACTGTTCTGAGAGAGAGATCTGCAGTAATCTTGCTTTCAACTTCTTACCAATATTAAACAAAATGAGAGAAAATGGCTCATGTATAATCATACATTTTTTGTTTATTAAAAGTTATTGTCTAGTCCAGTGGGTGGCCTATTGGGTAGATCCATTAACTGCCTTGTTTAGAAACAGCAGAGAAGACCATTGCAGGCTGGGAACTGGGCAGGTCTGAGATGTGTTTGCCTTGACCATTTCACTGTCTACAGGTTGAATTTGTCTTGTGGTCACACTTTGATCTGCAGAGTTTTGAAAACTTGGAATTCATTGCCAACTTAGAAAAGTAGTGATTTCGTGTACATGTTTGAGTTGTCAGCGTCTCCAAAATACTTGTAGATACCTAGCAGCATTGTGATACAGCAATATTTGGTTACAGTAGAAAAGCTTGAGTGGTCCTGTCTTCCCAGCTTGCCTCCCAGTCCTTTCCTAACGCGTCCTTTACATGTTCGTTATTGGATGAACATGTTATTACATGTTCGTTATCCTGCGCTGCTCTTGGGCCTGACCTTGTAAGCATTTGAGATAGTGACCCCTTAGAGAGTGACCTCTTGACATAAAAAATCCTAGGAAAATTCTTGGCAATGAAGGTAACGTCAATAATGTTAAAATCACACATGAACAGCAAGAAGACAGTACAGCTGACAGTTTTCCTGCTGCTAATAGATCAACAGCTTAGTTACAGAGACTAAAACCAATGATCTCAGCCAAAATTTTTTGAATTTTCAAGAAGATATAGTTTGAAATACTGGTTTTCTTCCTGTCATTGGTTGTAAACCTACCTTTGGTGTTAGTTATGCTAATGCATATGTATATATAATTTTTATTATAATGAATCATATGAAAAATTTTCATTTTGTAGGTTGAAAATGTCAAATATTGGTAATTTCATATTGTTCAACTAAAAAAACGTAATCACATATAGATGGGGTGTGTACCCCAAATCTTCTTTTTACAGGTGGGTTACCCAAGCAGATTTGAAGCCCACTGAGGTAGAAGAGGCTTACTCTTAGGTTAGACTTTGCATGGGAAATGGTCAGTGAATAAAGCAGAATATGCAATAAAATTACAATAAGAAGAAAGTGCAGTTTGTATAGCAGAAACAAGGATGAACAAGGAGTTAGAAAAGGGGTGGATAGCATGGTAGGATCCTTAGGGAGATCTTCAGAGTGAGAGTGGGTCCAGTAAGTACAAAATTTCCTCTAAAGTCAAATATAAATTGTTTTAATTATTTGTACTTTTTTCATATCATAAGCACTAAGGATAATTAAGAGTTGGCTATTTACATTTTTGTAGTCTTGCAGCTACAGAAACTCAAGTTTAGTTGATCAGATCATGCTAATATGCTCACCGGCCTGCTTAGAAATTTGCCTTCTCTTTGTATTTTTTTTTTTCTTTGTATGTTTTTATGTCAGTGTTTCTCAAACTGGATAGCAAGCTATTAATGAGTTGTGAAGTTAACTTATTGGGTCAGAGCTGGTATTTTTGAAAAAGTGAAGTGAAAGTGCATAGCATACTGGAAGAGTAAGGGTAGTATTGTTTCAAGAAATTTATATTTTAGCTTTATGTGTGTGTTTCAGTGTGTTCATGTGACTGTGCCAAGTTGCGATACAAAATGTATTTCTTACTGTGGGTTGAAGAAAAAAGTTGAAAACCATTTTATTCTAGTTTGGTATTTTGAGTTTAGGATAGAATGCTTGTTCACTGTTAATAATGAGGCTTTAAAATCAAGAGTCCTGATTCTTATTTTGAATTTTCAGATCTGTAATTCTTTTAATAATCTTGCTAGACACGCAGCCAAGCAGTCTTTTTAACCGATTCCAGTGCCCTTATTTGGGTTCCCATCCCTCATCTTCAGTCCTTTGAACACTGCTGACTTGATTTTTTTTTTTTTTTCCCTTCCCAATTTGTACTGCAGGGAGAAACTGACTGGCATGGGTAGATCAGTTGCATTAGAAAGTGTGCACTTAGATTATTATCTTCTGTAATGATTGAGAAACTCTAAATATGTGGTTAGGTGGAGTGAAAAGGTGAACTACCTGCATTAATACCAAGTCCTCAGATTTTTAACCAAAAACACACCTTATTTTTTGGTCTGTCTTCCACATTGGCTTTAACAGCAGTCCGTCAGTTTCTTCACAAGAGTCCATGTATTGAGTGACTACTATGAGCAAGGCAAGGATGGCCCACGTAGTTGTTAAAGGTTGTAGTTAATGGAAAGTGAGAAGAGAGGGGTGAGCTGCCTGGGCACTAGGTCATCCAGTTATTGTGAGGGTTTTGAGTGGTGGTGTGGTGAAGCAGACAGTGCCTGAGCAGAACAAACCAGTGGTTCCTAAGCTTTTCTCTGATCTTTGCTGGGTGGTTGACCTTATCAAGTAGGTTATTTAAACTGTTTGATTCTCCATGTCCTTCACTGTTAAATGGGGAAATTCCCACATAGAGTTATTTGGAGTGTGACCCATAGTAGTTCACGTATTATGTATTAATTATATTAAATGTATTAATTCCCCTCCCCTAGTCTTTCATTTCTTTTTTTTTTTTTAAAGATTTTATTGATTGATTGAGAGAGCACTTGAGCCCATGCAAGTGTGCCTATGTGCGAGGTGGGGGTGCAAATGTCAGGGGTTAGAGAGAGGGAGAAAGAATCTCAAGCTGACTCTACTCGGAGTGCAGAGCCTGACACAGGGCTCTATCTCACGACCCAGAGAATGTGACCCGAGCCTAAATGAGGAGTCAGATGCTTAACAGACTGAGCCACATAGGTGCCTCATTTCTTCAATTACTTATACAGCTTTTCTTAACTGCCATTAAATAGTGATAAGGTCCCATGTTGAGGTGAAAAATTTTAAAAGGAAAAGCATCTTTTAAAAGGAAAGCATCTTTGGGGCCATGGTAGCTGCCTGAGAATTGATGCCTAGTGCTTAGTCTTAGCATGAAGTGGCTAGTGAGGCAGGAAGAATGGAAGAAGCAGAGCTAGCTTCCAGCCTCTGAAATTTGCTTGCTAAACTTTGTATTAATAACTCCATGTTACTATAAATAGCAGTCTTCCTGTTTCTTTGGTGTGCTTGTGACTGGGCTATTTAGGATTATAATCTTGATTTGAGGAATCTCTATAGCTATTTTTTGGCCCTAAATTAACATTAAAGAATGCATTTTCTGGGTGCTGCCATTTTGATAGCTTCTCAGGACCTCTTATCTTTATTTGTAGAATGAAGGGCTGGGTTAGTTAGCTGTAATTCCTTTAAGCTTTAACATGTTACTATTTCCAGGGGTTAGGTTTTCTGTTGTTCATTAAGTTCATTCCTGAAAGCATTGCTTTGGTTGGTGGTTGCTTTTCCCTCCAACAGTGTTTATCAAGTTCCCCTGGAGAATTTTTTTTTTTTTAAGATTATTTATTTATTTATTTGACAGAGATCACAAGTAGGCAGAGAGGCAGGCAGAGAGAGAGAGAGAAAGGAGGAAGCAGGCTCCCCACTAAGCAGAGAGCCTGATGTGGGGCTTGATCCCAGGACCCTGGGATCATAACCTGAGCCAAAGGCAGAGGCTTTAACCCACTGAGCCACCCAGGTGCCCCACCGTGGAGATTTTGTTGGAGTTTTCTTCGTCTTAGGAAGGGAAAGGTTCCACTGAAGAGTAGCACAGGCAGGTTTGGAGGACTCTCAGGAAGGCACACATGGCTCTGTGTTCTCTGCACACATTTTGCAGAAGGTGTGGCTGGACAAACCCAGCCCCACTCCGTGGCTCTCCAAACTCTGCTTTGGTTGCCTTTGTTGAGAATACAGTGTCTCTTGCCCTGGAACTTGACTCACAAGCAACTGCAGGAGCCAGCCCCCGGTGCTTCTCACCTGGGAAACTGAAAATGCAGCTCCCCATGCCCCACTCGAGCGAGTCTGATTCTAATAAGCCCAGGATTCTGAATTTGAAATAAGTGTCCATGTTGAATCTCATGCCAGGTGGGCTCTAAAGCCTGCCTTTTGAGAACCTCTGGTTTCCAGTGTGCTGCCTTGGCTGTTGGAAAGATTGACAGGGGAATTTAAACTTTATTTATGAACAGTCTTCCTCTGAGAATGGCAAGCCTACTTCTTTCTTGTTCATAATTGGGATGAATTTGTGATTTTTATGGAAACCAGGTGATTTTCTGCCCGGTGGGCTTGTCTCTCAAGTCAGGCAAAACTCAGTGCTTGTCATTTTAAGACCACTTGCCAGAGACCTTGTCAGAATTTGAATGTTATACAATTTAACCCTTTTATGTTGGCTCCTGTATTGTGGATTCAGGCTCTTAAGCTAAAAACAGATTAAGTTGGATTTTAATATGTAAATATTTTGTGTTATATAAATTAGGTAATACTTTAAATGTGTCTCACTCATTGGGCATGCAGATTTGGAGGAAAAAAGTAAGTTTATTTTAGTAACTTGATTATTGCACTAATCCCTTTTTAATGTAATCATCACTACTCAGGGTGAGAAGTTTGGACCCTTCGCTGGAGAGAAGAGAATGCCTGAAGACTTGGATGAAAATATGGATTACAGGTTGATGTGGGAGGTAAGGATGACCTTGTTATTTTAAGTATTTAATGTTTTTCTTTATACTATTCAGTGCATTTACAAGGCTAAGTTAATAGGTATTGATTCCAGTCGACTATTTAAACACTGGAATGTTTCACTTTTAAGGGACCCGAGTAACTTTAAAGTTTAGCATTGAAAAAATGCTGTTGAAATATCTTACTAGACAATTCTTCTAGAACTCTGAAGTTTACAGTTCATCATTGAAAAAGGAGTTTTCCATGCATAAGGATGTTTGGATTATAAAATAAGCATGTTCTTGGACTGGATTAAGAATTCAATTTCTGTAAATGAAATTAGACCTTTTCTTTAACTTTTATTTCCCAGTTGTAGTTCTGATTTCTTAGAAACAGTTCTGAGCTCTGTGTTGGAATGAAAACACCACTATATTTCAAGAACTGTGATTTTGTGGACAGTCCTTTGCAATCTGAAATTTCTCTAATGCAGGGATCTGTATATGCAAATGTACATCTGTATAAGAATTTTCATCTTCGTTTATGCCAAGTATATTTGTTGCTGTTCTTTTCTAGTCATTAGAAAAAGAAGGGCCTGAGGGATAGAAATAGAGAAGTAAAGGTATAGAGATTGTTGAAGCAAACACTTGGAAAAAACTCATTTCCAAGAATTGTATTTGTTGTGTTCCATGAGTAGGGTAGGGCTGAGAAGTAGGATCAGTAAATCGGAAAGGGATAGAATCAAGAGGTAGAGACTTAGACATAAAAAGTGAAATAAGTCAAGCAGAGAGTCAATTATCATATGGTTTCACTTACTTGTGGAGCATAAGGAATAACATGGAGGACTTTGGGAGATGGAGAGGAAAAGTGAGTTGGGGGAAATCGGAGGGGGAGACAAACCATGAGAGACTATGGACTCTGAGAGAGGAACTGAGGGTTTTGGAGGGGAGGAGGGAGAATGGGTGAGCCTGGTGGTGGGTATTAAGGAGGGAATGTATTGCATGGTTCACTGGGTGTGGTGCATAAACAATGAATTTTGGAACACACACACACACACACACAAATAAAATTAAATTAAAAAAAGTCTTTGAATGTGTATCTATCAGTTTGAGTCTGCAGAGCAACAGAACCAATAGGTTGGAGATATATATAGATATAGATATAGATATAGATATAGATTTTTTTTTTTTTTCTCAAAGAATTGGCTCACATGATTTTTAGGGTAGCAAGTTGGAATCTATAGGGCAGGCTTTCAGGCTGGAAACTCAGATAGGAGTTGACTTTGCAGTCTTGAGGCAGGTCTCAGTTGACAAGTAAGGCCTTTGACTGATTAGATGAGGGCCCGCCATATGCAGCATTGGTGATAATCTCCTTTACTTACAGTCAACTAATTGTAGGTCTTAACCACATCTGCAGAATACCTTTACAGCTACAATTAGGGTAATAGTTGATAAATAACTGGTTACTATAGCCTAGCCAGTTTGACATAGAAAGCCATCGTAGTGTATTACCTGTAAACAAAATGTATATATGTTTTTTAAAGATTTTATTTATTTGACAGAGAGAAAAAGACCACAAGTAGGCAGAGAGGCAGGCAGAGAGAGAGGGAAGCAGGCCCCCTGCTGAGCAGGGAGCCCATGCGGGGCTTGATCCCAGGACCCTGGGATCATGACCTGAGCCGAAGGCAGAGGCTTAACCCACTGAGCCATCCAGGCGCCCACAAAATATATTTTTAATCATCATCCATATTGCTGAAACTGCTGGTGGTGGGGAACGGTGCTTGAGGAAGAGATTCTTGAAAGATTTCTACAGTGCAGGTGATGGAAAATGGAAATTCATACTATAGTCCTCACTAGAAGTGGAAAATGTTTTTGATTTGCCTAATTTAACAAGCTGTTTTAGTTGTTTATTTTATAAATATAAACATATTTTTGGCGTCTTTCACTATTTTTCTATAAGGTCTTAAAATTTTCTCAGTAGTTAATTTTTTTTATTGTGACGGTTTTCAGAAATCAAACATCTATGTGACAAAAAGATTGCCTAAATAAGTCATAAACATACAAATAGCAGTTACTTAAGAGGTTGTTAATGGCTTTTGATGTTTGTTCTGAAAATTTTAGTGTGATGAGTTCATGTTTTGCACAGCTAGTTATGAATTGTGAAGCAGATAATGATTGTAATTTTTATTTTGAAAGAAATCCTTGCCTATAGGAAATGCAGGCAGGCTGTTTGTGAACTGGTCCGTAGCTGACAGTGCAGCAGCGGATCACCTAGTTTTATATGACCTATTCTCCTGGGCCTTTAATGATTTTACATTAGTACTTGTTTTCACACACCCCTATCCCTGTCCTCTCACTCTGCTGCCCAAAGAACTATTGATTTTATACATTGTAGGTTCAGGTAATGTTACATTCACTTAGTGATTGCTCTTCTCTGTTTTATTTTACTTGCTATTTAATATCTGGATTTTGAATAAGTAATATTTGTACTTTTTATGCAACTCAGAAGAGTATTGATAAGAGTCTCCTCTGGTGAGCCTGTTCTTTTCACCTAAGACCTTTGATTCTTTTAAGCCCTTAGTTCACATGGCCTTCTACTCCTTCCTCTAGTTCTTCCTCTTCCTAGTCTGGTTTTCCGTTTGGATAGTCAGCCGGTCTTTGCTCTGCTTCTGGCGGCGGCGGGGGTGGGGGGGTGGGGGGGTGGGGAGCCGGTGGGTCTGGGGGCAGGACAAGGGAAAACCTCTCAGTAGTTTGCCTTTTGGGGGGAACATTTAAAAAACAATTAACATCTTTTGAATTCCTAGCCTTAATACTATTACTTTTTAAGTTAACCGAAGGAGCTGCTTCTCAGCCTTGAGTTTTTTTTTTTTTTTTTTTAAAGATTTTTTTTTTTTTTTTTTTTTTTCTGGGGGAGGTTCCAAGGAGGGAGAGAGGCAGGCAGAGAGAGAGAGGAAGGGGGAAGCAGGCTCCCTGCTGAGCAGAGAGCCCAATGCGGGGCTCGATCCCAGGACCCTGAGATCATGACCTGAGCCGAAGGCAGCGGCTTAACCCACTGAGCCACCCAGGCGCCCCTCAGCCTTGAGTTTTACAAGTGAAGTCCATCGTTGTTATTTGGCTTTGGAGGTGCCAGACTCAGAAGGAGCAGAGAGAAAGGAGAATAACTGGTCCTTCTTCAGTCTTCCCCTCATGGAGCCATTCGAGTCTTCTCAGAGGGAAGTAGTGAGCTTACCCTCTCCGATGGGTGCTTTGGGACTGGTTATTTAAGTCATTTCTAATTTGGCAGATAGCTACGAAGTGAACCACCTGGTGTTCTCAGACAGGTTGTCCTTCTCCAGCCAGTAGTTAACCTTGTCTAGTTTGGTTATGGGACATGAACCAGATCCTTAGGACAGTCTAGAAAATGGTGTCATGTGAGAGAGCATATAGCATAGCCCTTCCTCAGTCTCTCTCTCTCTCTTTTAAAAAAAATTAATTAATTAATTAATTTTTAAAAGATTTTATTCATTTATTTGACAGAGAGAGATCACAAGTAGAGAGGCAGGCAGAGAGGCGGGGGGGGGGGGAAGCAGGCTCCCTGCTGAGCCAGAGAGCCCGATGCGGGGCTCGATCCCAGGACCCTGAGATCATGACCTGAGCTGAAGGCAGAGGCTTTAACCCACTGAGCCACCCAGACTCCCCCCTCAGTCTCTCTTTACACTTGGCTTATGGCCAGCAGTTCTGGTGGAGAAGGCCAGGAACCCTTAGGTGGCCATTTCATGCCAAGAACTTGGAAGGCCCAGTTAGGAATGAGCCTACATGTGTGTGCAAGCCCCTGTGGGTTCGGGACAGGATATAAAGGGATCGAATGGGATCAGTTGATACTGTCTGCTGCAACCTCCTTCTCTTCCTCCAAAAGTACAGGTAGGAAATTTATTGATGCCCACTGCTTCAGAGAATTCACCAGCACCTCAGCCTCGTTCTGTGTTGGCCACCAGAATTTGAAATTCAGGTCTGAAGAGACTCAGTCTCATCTGTCCTTAAGGCTTGTTGGTAACCTCAGAATTTTGCTTTTCATTTAGAATTAAGTGCATTGGTAGAAGATTTCTTTCTTTCTTGGGCCTGAGGGCAATCACAGAGCTTGAGGTTGGAAACCAGTGCCTGATAATAAATACTTCCTTCCCATGGATAGTATAGTGGCATGAGCCCAGGTGTCTGTATTGCATTCTATTCTGTAGAACAGTCTTTTTGTCTACTTCTTTCCAGGTCATTTGGAGCTTGAGGTATATTTCCTTCCAGTCTGTACCTGCTCAAACTTGCTCTAAGACCAAAATCCATTCATGTACTGTGGCTAAAACTCAATCATCCTTTGTTTTGTAAATCTCCAAGAGTCCTTTTTCTATAATACCTTCTTCAGTATTTCAAGGCATAGTGCAAATACTTCCTCTTTAGGCTCTGGGTTATTATGCTTCTTGCATATACATACCTTTATATTTTGGTACCTGTAGAATACAATACAGATTGTACTTTTTCCTCACCTGCCTATTATTCAGGTATTCCAAAGTGGCTGCTGGTAAATCCAGTGTCTGCTTGAATCCTCCACAAATACCTGTGTTCTGTTTTCAGTGGGTCTTCCTTTCCTTTTCCAAGGCATCCCTTTGCATCGCCTGTAAGAAGTTTTTGTTTAGAAACTGGTCTGGTAAGTTCTCAAAACTCGGTGTCCTCCTTACATTTCTGGTGCAGTCATTCTTTCCTATACTTTGTATCTATTGTGAGATCACAAAGGACTCAATCTCATCCCCCTTCTCCCACTCATGCAGGGTGCATGTTCCTCTCAGTCTTTGAACAGTTCAGCAGGTGTAGTCGGGTACTCAGTGGTGTGATCTGATGCAGGTTGAGCCAGAATACGTGCTACAGTTTAGTAATACTAATGGGTAGTAATACAGAGGATGGGCCTCTGGACAAAATGTTCTTGCTGTTAGCTAGTTAAGAACTCACATGCAGAATCCCAGAGAACCAGGTAAAGCCTGGAGAGTCAAGTGAAATATCTA